GCATTTTTATTGTTGCTCACGCTCTGTGCTATCAGCAAAGGTCTGTGCAGGTTCTCCTTCCCACCTGTCCCTGTGCTCGTGGGGTGCAGGCAGAAGCATGGAGGGGATGTGCAGCCACAGCAACTAGTTTCTGCTTCAGGCATGGCCAGTGCCTCCACATCAGAGCAGAGAAGGGCAGCAACCGTGCCAATGAACTGTGTAACCTGCTGCTAAGAGGCTTTTCCACTTCCTCTTTCTCTGCTTTTAGCAGCCACAGATTGCCTACTGTGGGACAAAAGCCTCTGCAGGACTGATCCTGCTCAGCCCTGACAAGTGGTTCAAGCATAATGCTTCTGCATTTGTTGTCTTCTTGTACTTCAGCTTACCCTAGATTATTACCCATGATGGAGCAACCTAGAATTCATTGAATGACATTTCAGCCACCCCCCCCCCCCCCCAGGTAATGTTCTTAATCAAAAGGATTTTTACTTTTTTTGCCCCCAAAAGAACACCAGCCTTGCTCAGAAGGGGACCTGAGACACCCCTGACAGTCACCATGTGCTCCCAGTGGGATCCCAGCAATCCCCCAGTACTGCACAGCATTTTAAAAAAAGCATATGAGGCAAAAGCTACAGCAGGAAAGAGCTTCCATTCCCCTGTCCTCGTCTGTAAGTCATCCTCTTGGCCTATTTTACAGGAACAGGAAATCTATTAGAGCAATAGCTTAATCCGGTTTGACTGTAATAATTAGGGTGCTTTAAAAAGACCCTGACTAATCGTATAAAAAGTGATTGTAGACAGTTCAGTACATGACCCTTACACTTATCACTTGAGGTATTATTACAAACCAGAAACAGCTGGCAAACATGGAGGAGGATAAAAGGGGGGAAAAAAAAACACGTGAAGGGACAAAGACTGCTCCTTTTCTGATCTCACAGCGAGGCACTGCCAGCACTTCAGGCTGTCTGTCAATACAGATCCAGAGCACGAGGTTCCCTCCGTGCCCTTTGGCTGACATTTGTGTTTTCAGAAGGGGTCATCACCAGCCAGCAGGGTCCTGCATCAGCCCCTCTCTTTCTGACACTGCTTTTCCAGGCAGTCCAAGACGACTGGCATTCGAGAGGTGCAGTGATTCCCCTCGAGTGTGCTGCAGTCAGCAGATATTCATAGCAACAATGGGCAGCTTTTCCAAAACAAGGTGATCTGTATTAGTCAAGCTTTGGTATATAAGCTTTTATAGTGCTTTGGGATCATTAGGTCAGAATAGAAAAGCCATACTTACTTCCATGCTGGTAGCTGCCTCTTTTTCTCTTGCTCTCAATTTTTCTCAGGCTCTATCAGTCACAATTTCTTCCTCCCACTCCTGAGCCTCGGCTGAGAGCAGCTGAGTTCTCATCATGGCATCCCCATCTCTTTAGTGATTCCTTATTTTTCCACGTGTTCTGCCAGTAACACCGTGGGATGGCTGCCTGCTCAGGATGCCCTTGCCCCTTTAGGTGAGCTCATTCACGTGCTGATACTTTTCATTCATCCCTCCCTACAACTTCAGATAGGACAAACAGTCCCAGAACCCACCTCTTATCTCAGATATGAAATCAACTCTTCCAGTCCCAGTGACTCAAATACATATTTTGGTGGAGAATTCAATATTTATCCATAAAAAAAAAGGAGTTTCCCATGTGCCAGAAACAGACAACATCAGGAAACAACTATAGAGAAGACTGTATAGGATGTTTTGAGAAGCTGAGCCCACTGCAGCTATCTAGTATAATGGAGAGGCTTGCCCAAAGGGACTCCTGGCACAGACTGAGTAAGTCACAGATGAAGAAGCAGGAGAGGACTTGGTCACCACACACACGTTGGAGAAACACAGGGGAGGCTCACTTTAGTCAGCTTCATGAAGAGCTGAGATGGAGATTCTAACCAGGCCATAACCTGCAAAAACACGACTCAGCAGAGCCAGTCAGGAGCTGCAGACTTCACAAACAGGTAACAGCCAGGATGAGATTGCACTGTCACAGATATGCTACCATAATCACCTCTGAAAACATATGATCAGCTTTGAAGGAGGCTTTTAAAAACTGAAATTAGATACACTGCAACTTCAATATAGCCTATCTCTGTTACTGAGTTTAAAATATGTTGTTGTTATTGGAAGCTCTACAGCAGCTTGTATAAGAACCATAATAACAACATTTGCAGTAATGGAACTTTCAGCTGGAGTTGGGTTTTTTGCTTTCTTTTGCTCTCCCATGAGTCTTCCCTGGGTCTGTTTTTTTTTTCCTCCACTCTGCTCCATATAGATTTTGATCTTTTCTTTATTAAATAGAAATAGCTATCCCCACTGACTCACTTATCTAATAATAACTAGACCCTTTCAATTCAAATGAGTTATTAAAGTAAATATATGGTTAGGGTATTACTGGGAGAGTGGCAATAGAAATACCATGGTCAAATTATCCTATGACTCAATTCTGCAAAGCGTGCTGAAGCCATTTAATACATTTCACAAGTACTCAGTAGTGACCTCTAACACCAGAGTGGTTTCTCTCCTACAGTAGCTTTATTTCACAACTCTGAATACACTTTTTTTTGGTGTTTTTTTTTTTTTTTTAAGGTTTTTATAAATCATTCTTCAGCCTTTGGGAACGAGCCAATTTAATGCCAGAGTATCATTCCATTTCAAAGACTTGAAGGATTTGAGGAAACACAATCTGCTTTCTGAACAATGTGAGATGAATAAGTTGTGGTTTCATTAGAAACTAAGCTGTAGAGTTTACATTCAGAGCTCAACTTTTCCAAAGTTCAGCAGCAGCTCTTGGCTTGTCAGCAGTATTCCCCTGCAGTGCTCTTCTTGCAGCAGCTCTCCTTCTTAAGCTTGCTGTAGCAGGAGAGCTCACTTGCCCCAGGAGCAGATGGCAAGGGACACATTGCTGCCAGCCAAAGTTTCTAGCAGTCATTGGCCTTAAAACAGCAGGGGAAAGGAATTCCCTCTGTAAAGTCAAGAATCACCAATCAAAAGCATTAGTCCTTATTTTTAGCTGTTTTTCCACCATGTTTGAGAGGATGCTGGAGAAAAGAATGATGTTGTCTCAAGCCTAGATTCCGTCCCAGATCCATCCTGATTCTGAGGCTATCAGAACCCACCTGGCTCTTTTCTCAAGGTCACAGGATAGGTCTGAGATGTGCCCTGCTCCATAAGGACCTGAGGAAAACTGATTTTGTAACTGCTGCATTTCTTTTCCACCACGTCTGCTGCACTGCAGCAAGTGCTGGCATCCTGATAGGAATAGCACATAATAGCACATGATGATGCAGGCTAAAGAGAGGTATTTTTGCCTAGTTTCCATGTCAAAACATTTGGGAAAAGAAAAATAGGACTCTAATAGAGTAATGGGTTCAGCCTCATTCTGCAGCTCCAGACCTGCACCCATCACCATCCCCAGCACCACCTCCCAATATGTCACCAAAGAAACCTGCCCAAGCCACAGAGACACTCAGTCACATCTAGCTTTATTTTAATCCCGTCAGAAAAGTTCAAGAATTACACCAAAAAATACTTCAGTCTCTGCTACCTACTGACAAAAAATACACCACAAATTATAAACTGTTCAGTGGTTTGCTGGAGTTTGGATTTTTGGTGGAGGGAGTGGTTTGTACATTTTGAGTGAGAAATGAATTTACAGATGGAAGGAGAAGGGAGGATAGGAAATCAGACAATGACATTTGGCACTACATTTTTAGCTACACTATACAGTTATTTATCATGATGCCTGTTAGGACTGAGGAGTTCTGCCCTGATTTACACCCTCTAGTGTCTATGTATGCGAAATGGAGGACAAAATTGCCCAATGCAGGGAAGAAGGGGTCAGTTCCTAATTTCCATCCCAGTCTAGCCACAAATCTGAAAAAAGCAGCCTTAGTATAACATAAACCTTGCACTCTGCTCTTGCTGCTCAGCATCTCCTGCTAAGCAGTATAACCTCACAATGATGAGCCAAGTGGTGGCTCTGAATAACAGAATCCCTTCTTTTAAAGTCCCACCACTCTGTTTTAACTGCCATTTGTGGGGAGAAGATGTTTTACACCAGCTGGTATTGGTCTAAGCTTGGGGTCTGGTCTGGGTATACAAGCAGAGATCCAAAGGGACCCTTCTACTCTGAGAGCATGCTATGGCCAACCCCCTCCCACATCACTTACTAAAGGTCGCTCAGGAAATCCATGCCAGAAGTAGGTAAAGCCCTGATCTTCTGACTGCCACCAGCTCTGTGCTCACAAATACACTCCTGCTTTCACTACAGCAGTTTTTATCCTGCTCCACATCCACACACCAGCCAGGACTTCAGAGCCCAGGACTTCAGAGCCCAGTTGAGATCACTGGAGCAGTGACAGCTCTTTAGGAATGCCTGGATCTTCCCGGATTTGCATAAGCCCCTGTTCAGGTGTGTGTGCATGTGCTTTTACACCTGTGCATGTTTGAGGGAGGAGGGGATATTTGCATCTCTCAGCAAATGCACACTGATACTGGATTTAGTTTGATACCAGTTATCCCCCCTTTGGCAAGCTAAACAACACTGCAATATCCTTCTGACAGGTTCTCTCTATCCTGTCTCTTAAAAGGGTTTCAGCTATTCTTCAACTGCATGTTAAGTCCGAGTCACAGCTTTCCAGCAATGGTAATGTTTTGTAGGATTCCCTTTGCTGCTTTTATCCTCTCTGGCTGTTTATCTAATTTGCTTTTTTTGTTTTTTAATTTCTTTTTCTAACAAATAGTTAAGCAATGATTTAAAAATATTTTTACATCGTAAGGTACAGTCAACATCAAACATGCCTTTGTACAAGAGCTCGACTCGGTTACAAATCAACGAGAACAATGCACAAAAAGAAATATCCATTAAGATGACTCCCGCACTTGGGTCTTATTTATTCCCATCGTGCTGCTAGCACAGCACCCACTCTCAATTAGAGCAATGCAGTATAGACACGGTGCTGTCCCCCCCCCACCCTCCCACTTTGCCCATCACCACTCGTTAATTTTAATGACCTTCTGTTTTGGCAGCCTTGGCTTCATGGTTTACTGACCCTGAGGACAGCCAGGGCGATACAGCCCGGGAACTGGTCTGCTTGGCCATGCTGTAGTGGCTGATGACGGTGTAGAACCTGCCCCGGGAGTTGGAATCCTGTGCGGAGTAGTAGGCATCCAGGGAGGCCGGGATGCACCGCTTATGCTAGAAAGGAGGAGAAAGCAAGAGAAGTAAAGAAGGGTCCTATCAGCCTCAGGCTCTCCTTTCAAAAATCTCGTTGTTAGGTGCTTGCGTAGATGAAGTTTGACTCATATGCTGCAGTGAGAGCATCTGCTGCACAACCCCTACTGCCTTTCAGCAGCCATGTGGGAATGCACAAAGTTTAGACTCAGCAGCAGCCTTTCAAGCCTGTTGCTACTGGCAACCCCGACTGTAGGCAGATTTCGTGGCTGGGTTGGAAATGGGGGCTGTAAAATGAAGATTTGAGGGGTTTGGTGCGTTACTGGCACATACAAGGACCGACGTCCCTGCCAGGAGTCCTACTAGAGTACATGGGGCAGCTTCTGTCCTGATGCAGAGAGGTGCAGATGTGCAGCTCTGTTGCTATGCCTTGTCCCTGACCTGCAGGATAACCACTTTGGAAGGATGGTAGGAAGCATGGCCCAACTGCCCGGCCCTTGTCAGAGTTTCTTGGCTGTGCAGACACTGCCAGTGTGTCTCCTCTACACTACTTGGGTGCTAAGAACTGCACAGACAAATCAATTCACTTTGCAACAGCTGTAAAAGAGCAATGAAACAGTAAAAATACCAGACAAGATGGCATTCACAAAGTAGGACCAGTGATATAAAAGGCCCTAGGTATTATTATTATTAAATGATGAGACAACCCAGCTCCCATATCAATGTGATTAGCAGAAATCCGAGTTCAAAGCCTTTAATCTTTTCAGAAGTTCGGGTTTGGATCTGATTCTGAAATTCACGTCTGAAGTCCTAAATTCACTTTTATACAACCGAAGAGAATGATTCACAATAGCTACTGTACAAATAAGCTTACTCTATTTTCCAGCTCACAGACCATTCTTAGTGTGGTCAAGCCTCCTGTGTGTTTATGAGTTCATTTGTAGCAAAGAGTGAGCGACCTATTTTGCAATTATTATTATTACTATTTTTAATCTCAACAGAGCAAGCAAATAGTTCTGTGTATTTGACATAAAACTGAAGTGCAGAAAGTTTTCAGCAACTAGGTTGCATGCTTTTGTTCTTGATAGATGCTCAAAAGCACAATAGATGAGCACAATGGGCAAATTTGGATTTCTTCCAGAAAGGAGTGCCAGCACTCTGGGAGCTTGCCTTGCATTAAAATGTATGCTAGTAAACCTTGGTCCCTTCAATGTGTGGGAAGCAAACACGGGATATTCCAGCTGCAATAAATCTATTCACAAATAGGAGGGATTGTTCCTGAACATCTGTCTGTAGTGTTCACCAAAGCTAATCCCAACAATTACAGTGTAACAGTAGCTGATGGAAGCAGATGCAACCCCACATTTCCCATAACACTTTTCCCATTTCAACACATTCTTGCCAAATGTTCTGTTTGGTCTGGTCAAAAAAGCAGACCAGACTGTAACCATGTAGTCATTTAGAGTCTATCATTATCTCAGGCAGTTCATCCGGCTGAAGTTTCTTACCTTATAAACAAATCCATCTGGGCAACTGTGGTCGTAAGTAAAGGCTTTGTATACCACAAGAAACACTATGCAGGCAAGGAATGCAAGAGCCAGACTTATGAGAATAGTGACCTACAAAAGAAGGATAATGTTACTCTACATATGTTAAAATGGCATATGAGCAACCTCATAATTAAAAGACTTACAGTAACATCCATCCTAACAGACTGCAGTCTTCACTTCACTGTGCAGTACTTAACTAAGCATGGTAATTGAATGAAGGCTAGATCCAATAGCCCTGAATTATCACATCATTTCCATTCCCCCCACTCCCCTACCCCCAAGACTTTCAGGAGTGCACATTCCTGTGTTTAACCCCTTGCAGTGCTTTTGGCCTTCTTGGACCCTCTGCGTTCCCAGGATCTCATCACCTCCTGGCCCAGCAGGACCCCCAAGCAGCCAGAGCTCCACATTCAGAGCCTCATCTGTGCGGGTAAGCTGCCTCACAGCCATGGCAAGATATCATTTTTCTGATAGCAGAGGCAGGTCAGCAGGTAGGAAGAATGAAGCTTTAGGAGCACGTTCCTTTGTGTCTTCTGCTGCAAGGTGAAGTTACTCCTTGAGTAGCTTGCAGAAGGTGGGAAGAAATCCTCTATCAAAGGCATAAAAAGAGAACAGCCAACCACTGACAAAAGCCAGCATGTATACCCACAGCATGCCCATGAGCAGGGAGGCAGGAGGTTTACTGTCCCCATTCAGATGCCTGGATTGAAGCCCTGACCCTTGGTTTTAGCTGAGCTAAAACCTGTGTCCTTCCTACAGGCTGAGCAAGAGCCTCAAATACACATTGTTCAAATGCACTGAGTTTCAAGTTGATAATCACTTCATCAGGGTGCATGCATATGGGTGTATGTCTGAAACACCTTGGGACAACACCACTCCCTTGTCCCTTTGCCTGAAGCTTTCTTCGTCCCAACTGGTAGTTCAGCAAATGCCCTGCAAAAGCCTCTGGACTTCTACTACCTGTATTACAGTAATTCATCCTGTTGAGACTGCTGTCTCATGCCAATCCAGATTGGCATGAAAAAAATCATAATCCCTGGAGCTTCAGTGTTACCACGCAAACTAGGGCTCATAATCAAATAAAGACACTTATTAAGATGATGGGGTTGGGAACAGCAGTAAAGGATCATTTGGAACTGTTGCATAGCCAGGGCAGGGAGTTGGAGCTGGGCACCACCAGAATTTGGCAGGATGTTTGCCTATGTGAGGAAGGTGCTGCAATTTCCTGTGCTCTGTGAGCCTATCGGAGCTTGCACTGAGGATGATCCTACAACAAAAGGTTGAGGTTAGGCATGAGTTTACAAGAGGGATGAAGATTTCTGAGGCTTTTTCCTACTCGCAGACTCAATCTGCTTGCTTCTGGCTCCAACTTTTCGACCAGGAGCAGAGCTCAAGACTGCAAACTCTCCCTGATTGCAACAAAACTGAACCACTAAGGGAAGGGCAAAGGCAGGAAAAGGCACAGACTGTGTGCTTACCCTGCAGACATGTTCCCACCAAACCAGGCATGTGCTTATCCTTACTGACAGAACAGATATCCAAAATATGCCCTCTCCCCAATAATAGGGCTGCATTTACCTGTATGAAAGGCAGCAATTGTCATTTACTGTCCTAGCAAGGAAGAGCCACATTTTTTCATTTCTATCTAATTATTCAGTAATTCTAATTATGTCGGTTCACCCACTGTAGCTTCTGCTGTTCCAGTTACATCATTTTTATGTTCTTTTACAGGAGTCTAAGGAAATTCAATAGCATTTACAGGTAGAAGCTGTTCCTTAACTATATGTAGGAGATTGGTCATAGTACATAGCGGAAAATCAGAGTTAATTCCCACAGTATAGTGACCAAGCTTGTAAAGAACAGCAGCTAACAAATAACACACTGGATACATCTCAGAATTTGTCAATATAGTATTACTTGTATATCAATAACATAATATATCAATACATGCATGCTAATTGCTTAATATTGACTCACTCTGAATTTTGCTCCAATTCCCCCCTTTAGTCACTGCAGTAGCTGTCATTCTGCAAACCTGTAAGATATGCAATCCCTGCACAGACTCAGAGGGATCACTGTCATTGCTTTGCTGTGCAGAAGGGACATCCCACACTCATAGATCCTGCAGAGGATTGCAATGCCTGGTGAGATGCATTTCTAAGCACATAAGGCATTGGGACATTTTCTCAGAGAAGCTAAAGCAGCCTTGGCGAATTCTAGATGATCCAGAGCTACAAGTTTGGTGGCTTTTTTAAGGCAAAAAGTAAGAGTGAAGTTATGTCTGTATGTACTATGCCAAATCTGACCCATCACATCCTGTTCAAATCCCAGGAAAAAGAGAGGTATGGAGACCATGTCTAGCAGAAGTGATTTGTAAATTCATTGTTAAATCAGAATATTTTAGAATAAAAGTGCAAAAAGGTAAGATGACCGGGTAAGATTGGAGCTAATAGGATTTTCTAGTGGTGAACAGTTCACTGAAGCCCTGACTCTACTTTTAGAAAAACTGCTCATATTAAGCCATCCTCCTTACGGCTTAATCTGCTGCAAAATGGGTTAATTAAGCAAAAGGCAGGAGCACAGGGGCACAGGGAGAAGAACTTACTGCTGGGTCTCATCAGAGAACATGTGTAAAAGTCTTGGTGTGCTGAAGAAATAGCTGGTAAAAGAGAAGAGCAGCTGTATAAATTTCACCAGTTACCAAGAAAATAGGTGCTCCACTTCCTCTCCAGCAAAACACATCTGACTGTGAGTTTGAATGGATTTCCTGGATTATGCATGCCTACACTCTCTACTCTTTCCAACAGAAGATCTGCAGAAAAGAACCCTCTCCAAAAAGACCCTGATCTTGCAGATCGATGTGAAAGAGCATGTCTCCCCATAGAACAAATGTCCACCAATTCTTTCTCATCTAAAAGAAGAACAGTAAATCCAGTAACTCCTCTCATAACACTGTATGTAGTAATGCACATATGAAGGCAGTAAGGCAAAATATAGCATCTTGGTCTACCAAAGCCAGTGTTTAGAGGCTAGTCTTGGCAACGGGCTCAGTAACTAAGAAATGCTCAGTTCTCCATAATTGCAACGTACAGTGAATGAAGAAATCTTGCATTGGTTAACCTGGAGGAACAAACTTAGGATCAGGTTAAAGGAAGTAACAAAGTTCACTGACATTATGCTAAATACCACCCATGAATACACAGAATGTAACTCTGAGAAAGCATCTCTTGTTCTGAGAAATAAGATGCTCATTCTCTAGCTTTGTTTAGCAAATGGAAGGGCTAGCTAAAGATCAGCACATCCCTAAGAGTAAGAAATCAGACAAAGATGGCAGGAGAACCACATGGGTGAGTAAGTAGCTCATGGAAAAACTCAAACAGAAGAAAATCTACAGAGTGTGGAAAAGGGTGCTGGCAACTTGGGAGAAATAGAGGAAGATTGTCAGGGCATGCAAAGATGCAACAAAGAAGGCCTACTTCAAATCAAGTCCTTTGGGGATCCTTCAGGGCTGACTGCCGCTAAAGGAGATGCTGTGAAAGGGGAACATTCCCTGAGCTGTTGGTTGTCTCTCCCATCCAGAACAGCTCCATGCCTTCCTTTCCCAAGAGCTGTTGACAAAGTTGTTTTGAAAACTTCTCCCTCTAAGCTAGATAAAATGGCCAAGTTCTTCTTTTGGCCTTCAAAACCACAAAGAACTGAGCTGTCTGGAGTTAGAATGAATGTCTCTTTCTAAATCCCCTGTGCACACACAGCCTACGGAAATGACCATTAGTAATGTGATTTGACTGGTTCCTTTCCTCTTGCCTGCCCACTGAGCCCCTAAAATAATAAATTCCCATCTGCTCTGGCGCTCTGCTCCAGCAAAGTGCTGACACCCAATTCATTACCTCCCAGGAGCAGGTCCCTTCCGCTGAGCTTTCTTCTCCCTCCTGGGTGTAATTGAGCCCATTTTCACCTCCCTCCTGCCATTTCATGCACTTGCAAAATTACAGCGTGACACAATATTACACATGATGATGCATAGTGTAAAATTGTTCTGGGATGAAATGTCGCTTCCGATGTTAAAGCCCAGAGGAAAAGGAAGGAAAAATACATTCCCAGATATTTTGCCAAGTCAGAGCTAAGATCCACCTCTATTCCAGAAAATACAAAGCTTAATTAGCATTCAAACATCAAAGAATCATAGAGCTGCAATACCTAATAAACCTCCCTTTTTTTCTTTTTCTTTTTTTTTTTTTTTAATGAATAACATGAACCTTGGCGGTCTCTGAGCAATATAAACACTCACAGAGGGGAAATAAAATTTAGTGAGCAGATAAAACCTAGAAGTGCTACAAGCATGAATCTGTCATGTGTGACTGCTTGAGTGGATAGCTGGAGGGGGATACTTGCCCACCCGTTCCCCAAAGTCATATACAGCCCCCAATGGTTCCCCTAAGAGGGGAGTGTGTCTGCTGGAACAAAGCAGAGATAGCATCACTACCACACCAAAAGTCTCCCCATCCACCATAAAACATGGAAAAGGGTTTGATCTGAGCCCCCTGACATCACTGGAAGACATTAAGCTCCCACCAACATGAGTGCGTTGGCTCAGCTCCTCCCCCCCTTTCCCATAGAAGCACACGTTGCATTTTCACAACAGCACAGACAAAAATAACTAATATTCTCATCAAGCAACATGAGATGCCACTAAGTTTTTTCATATCATGCATTCAGGTATCCTTCCTGCTGTTCTCATTTTGCAAAGACAGTGTGCACCCATTGCTCCCCATGGTAGTCAGCAACACCTGGGAGCAGTGAGTCACTCCAAAACTCAAGCCCTAAGGCTCTGACTTGCACATGAGGGTTTGAATGCAATGTTGATGACCTGCTGAGCTACAGAGCTCTGGGTTCCTTACTGCAGCACAGATCAGGGACGTACTCCGGTGCCTCAGTCCTGTGAAATCTAAATTCTCTGGAAGTACCTGGGGAAAACACAGAAGAAAGCAGAGAAAGACAGATCCCGAGCTACGGCTGATGGGAACACTACCACATACTGCAGATATTCTGAAGGAATATTTTTCAGGCAG